TTTTTGTGCTGATAATTATGAGTGGTCTGTTGACTGAAAGTTGTATTTGTTCAAATAATTGTTATGGGCAGGTTACAATATAAAAATGTTTGTCATAATCATGTCTTGTGAATATTTGACAGGAGTTTACTTTTAAACCGTAAGTGTATTTGATTTAGTAATGCTAGTTATGATAGTTTATAGTTATGATGTAAATACAATAAAAATTAAACCAAGATTTAGATTAGAATATATATCATTTTGATCCGTATGGTAATGTCTGACTGGACCTCGTGTCACTTTATGTTCAAYAAAYTGGGCCCCGAGGTCAAAAAGGTTAAGAATCCCTGATCTATCTAAACACCTTGATCTCTTTAAGAACCTTCGTGGGACCAGAGCTCGAGTGCAGAATGAGGTCCAGGGTGGAGCTTTGTGTCAGTGGGCGGGGCTTTGTAAYAGGGCTACCACAGGAGATGGAAGGATTTCTCAATCATGAATGAGTCAAAGCATGTTTCTGATGAGGGAACAACATTATAACATGATATAAAGCTCAAATCAAAAAGTTCRTTTTGCATAATAACTCYCCTTTAAAACAAAGGATTTCTTATGTTCGTATTAACACCGGCCTGTTTTTGTTTTGTTTGTTTATCTAAAACCAGTGCTCTGTCGTTGGAAGATATTTCACTGCTCACCCGGGGAGCTTTCCATATGTTGTTTATCATGTTTTTGTTTCTTTAGGGGGATGTTGTAAATCTGGAAAGAGCTGACGGGAAGACGGATGTGATCGTGACAGAAGGCGTCAACACCGTGACGTACACCTTGGATGAAGGCCTCATCGAGTTCGGCACCGCCATCGATGATGGAGATTACGACAGGTGAGCTTAGACTTCACATTCAGGGAGGAAACAAAAACAACAACGCTGAAGAAGAGCGACAAGTGTGATGCCGTGTAAACATCCGTTCATCTCTCTGTGTGTGTGCGTGCGTGTGTGTGCGTGCGTGTGTGTTTTCAGAGCCGTGGCCTTTCTCGAGACTCTGGAAATGTCTCCCGAGACGGAGGCCATGTGGAAGACGCTCAGCAAGCTGGCTCTAGAGGCTCAGCAGCTGCACATCGCAGAAAGGTCAGCAGGACGAGCAGACACACAAAACAACACACAAACAGGGGAAACGTTTGGAACCAGGGGTGCTGAGGGTGATGCAGAACCCCCGCCTGATGGATGGCAGAAGGCATGTCTGTCCAAATATACATTTATAATTTGCTTTTTTATGCTTGTTGTTTGTTTAATACCACAATATGTGACCAAAACAAAGAGAGTGAGCAGGTAAAAATCTGAAAAAAAAAAACAACCCCTAAATCAGGGGTCTCCAACCTGTGGCTCTGGGGCCACTTGTGGCTCTTTGGTTCCTCTTCAGCGGCTCTTTGAAGCTTTGACTAAAACWAACAKGAGATTCAGTATGTTTGGTTTTATACTCGAGGCTAGCTTTAGCAGGTTTCCTGTCAGTTTGCTTACATATATGAGTAAAGAGTGACCCATGTTGATTAGACCAGTGGTTCCCAAACTTTTTATCTTCTGACCCACAAAATATCCATGGCAAAAACTTGTGACCCCAAATATTACTGGTCTGAGTACGCGAACTTCATTAACAACCCTAAAAACACAGGCTTTTTGACAATCTAAAAAGCTTGTACACAAATATACTTATTTATACTTGTTTTGTGTTTTTTGTAATAAATATAGGGACAATATTACATCAGCAACTATTTTACTACCCTTTAAATTGATTTCTGGAGATTATCCAAGGTGCTTCATGACCCATATTGGGTCCCAAGCCCAACTTTGGGAACCAAAGATCATGCTAGTAGCATGTTAGCCACAATAATCCAACTTTCAGATTTAAAATAGGATCTTTTTCTGAAATCCAGGATTAACTTTGAAGACCTTTAAGACTAGCTAATAATAATAATTGTAGTTTTTTTTATTAAATTTAGTATAAACTATATGGTATGTTTC